TCTAACCTGGCCGTTGTAAACATATCGTAAGCTCAAAGACAATTGCTCAATACCATATATGTCAGTTGTTTCATCAAATAAAACTGAATAAAATTTGGCTGCTTTAACTCTCTGTACAATAGTATCTGTAATAATATCGCCAATTGTGGTCATGATTTCATTTTGAATCGTTTTGCTTATGTATGTCGCATTTGATTTAGATGATTTTAAATGTTCTTCAAGAACATGGTCTCCAGCATCGACCCTAAACTGAAGTAGTTCTCTGAAATTACCCTCATTTCTAACTGGACCGGTACCATATACCCCTTCATTAAGCATGTCATTGTCCAAATTTTCATCATCTTCATCATCATCATTATCAGCATCGCCTGCATCATTAGTACTTATATTAAGTTTTCCGTCATCTCGATGTCCTCGTAGAGGAATATTTTGTTTTCCCAAAAAAATAATAGATTTAATTATGGGCTTCAATCTTTCTCTGTTTTCCTTCATTTGCTGATATCTTGCGGAATAGAGTTGATTAACAACTTCAAATGATGGATTTTGGTATGATTTAACAAAATCATTGCCCCTCTGAACTGACTCTTTGTGATACCTGTATTGTTCATGACAGCTGAGATCACCTTTTGCCTAATAATTTTGCAAATGATGTAAGTGGTTTTTTTACTAATTTTTGCAATGGCGTTTGATGACTAATACCACCGGTGTCAGCCATTAGAGCACAATACCTGCAAAATAAACCTTGTTCCACATGCGAGTATATCAACTATGCATTAAATGTTTCCAAGTGACTTTTCAAAATGTACCGTTTTTCATTTTTACCATTTTTAATATGATTTGAATACGGAAATTTGTAGCCAAATTCTGGTTTCCATGGATTTTGTAGAAGTTCAAATTATATATCATCATTAATTGTTTTATTACTGCTGCCCACATACAGTCCAATATCATTATTATGTACAAAAATCCATTTGTTGATAGACTTTTTCATTATTCTTTATCTTGTTATCTTCGTCATTATCGTGCAAAGCTACTTGCTCAAATGATTCATCATTTTTAACAATCACTTTTTCATTATGATTATCGGAACTATCGCCTTCATGTAGTTCTAAAAAAATAAACTAAATTTAACTTAACTCTGAACACTTATTTAACAATTTCTATGCTACTAGTGAACAAATTCATATCGTATGGTGATCTAACCTGGTGGATGTGCCCTTTTAGTTCGCTTCACAAAACGATCCATATATATTTAAATTAATCTTCTAAAAAAAACTGAAAATATGATTATGAATTATGATACTTATAAAGTACTATTACTAGCGCAACTCAAATTTGAATTTTTAAAATGAAAATCAGACGGAAGAAGCGTTCAAAAAATTTTCAAGTGTATTTCGCCGCGTGGGTGCGTTCATAATTTTCCTTTGATCATTTGTAATAAAAATTATAAATAAATCAAAGTAAACATAAAACATTATATTATTCAATTAATTTACATTCTAAAATTTATAATCAAAAATGGATATATTCAACATTACAAAATATTTATTTAAAAATTTTCGCCCCCCCCCCAGTCAAACTTCCTGGATCCGCCCTTGCTCAGCAGTGGCATTGTTCTAGGAATATTTAGGGGTGACTCCCTTAATACAATTTAATATCGTTAAACAAATTTTGAAAATAACTTTTGATAAACCGGAAACCAGTGAAGAGCAAAAAGAATTGGCTTAACACGGTCCTATTTAAGGCCACCTGAAATCAACATTGCAGCCCAATTTTGAACCGACTGCAGCCTAGCCCTATTTACACTATACAGTTGCATATGTTATTCTAAGTTTAGGTTTTAAGTATTATTGCTAAGTATTCTAAATAGTATTACTAGATATGTAGGGCTGTTTGGGAGGCTTTTATTGTATTTTGTATTGGAAACATTTTTATTTTTATACATTATACATGTATATAGATCAATAAAATTTTATTTAATCAACAATTAAATCTTATTTGGTAATATTTTAGATAAATGCTTGTAAATGTAATCGACCATATGTGCATTGAAGTATCGATCTATCATTAATATGATATTGTTTCTTTCTCTATTAAGAAGATTCGATTAGACAAAAATAAGATTAGCTTAAAAAGTGGTCTCTTTATCACCTACTTAGTTCCATATTATATTGATACTTCTACGTGTGTCGCTGTCTCGAATTCTCTGCGTAGATTCAAAAACACAAAACGTCGTTCACAAACGAATGCACGTACACGCAGCAATCCACTCAAATCACGGGCGTTATGATCTTTAAGTTTCATACAGGTACAGGTTTCAAACTATATACCAAAGCTTATTTTCAAAGCGGACATGCCCACCCACATATTTCACCGACTCAGTATGAAATATTAGTTGTAAAAATAAGTAAAAATTGTAGTAAAAATAATTCTCTGAAAAGTTGAAAAATTCTTGTCAGTTATTTTTCGAAATCATTTTTATTAATGCAACCTACTTTTGTCTTGTTACCATAACATACTTGCTTTAATCTGTTGGAATTTCCATGAAACTATTGGAAAGAAAAAACGATGGATATGTTGACCAACAATCTGTTAACA